CCATTGTGCCTCTCTTCTCCTTTGTTTGCACACAAGCTTATTATTCACGTAACCTAACACACCTCTTCTACTATACCACTTACTATGCTTGTCCTCAAGGCTATTTCCTGGACACGTTTTTAAGTTTAATAACCAGAATGGGATTAAGAGGAAAAATAGAAAATACTGTTGTCTAATAACAATATTTGCAGAAGTTAATTTTCTATGATCGTATTAAATATCTGATAATCTTATAATCTGATTCTTCATTGTCTGTTTGTGCAGAGTGTTTATTGCAGGAGCTAGATGATAATGAACAGTTTCTTACTGTTCCAAAGTAACCTTAATCTATTAAACAGTAATTTAACACTCATAATACTGATGCAGTCAATTTTAGGTTTTTTAGAGGCTGGGGTTTTTGGGGGGAAGGAGTTACTTTTTTAAAATTAAGTTTTATAAAGTATTTATGTTATTGCTGACAATTTGGGATTAGCTATTGAAATTGAAGGACAACTCAAAAGTTAAGTATCATCTGCAAACCTTGATGACAACAGAAAATGACACAGTTTTAAAGTACCTTTTTCTGGGTAATTTTTCAAGTTATCTAAGGAAGCAATACAGTGAAGTAGTATTAGTTCTAGCATATATGATGTTGCTATGTGCATAGGTAAGAGCGTGTTTGTAAATGTTTTCCTTGATTATGCTGCAGATGCTGAAACCCTCCTCACCTGCAGGGTTGAAGAATTTATTAACCCCTAAAATGAAGTAGTTCCCAGTGTGCACAGGCATATCAATACAGAGAAGGGAAATAATAAGTAACACGTAGTGATATTAATAAAACTCGTTATGTACAGGACAATTAAGCTCTTCATTTAAAAATAAATACTGTAAAAAGTAGTGGTGTAGTTCTTGGCAAGGGAAGGTGAGGAGGGCAGGAGAGGTTGCAGGGGGGATTACTAGGGACTTGTCATAAAGACTGAGTCTGTAAATACAGTGATCAAGTGACTGAACTATATTTGGAACCCGTCAAAATTCAGCAAAATGCATTTATTATCGACCTCAATTCTGAATATTAAAAAGAATATGAATCATGCTGTTAAAGGACGTTGCAGCGGTAATGATCACTGAACTCAGAGAATTCAGCAAGGGAAGTAACAACTTACATTTGTAACAAACTAACTTGAATCATCTGCAGTTGGCTGTAAATTAGGGAAGCTAAATCAAAGGCTTATTTTGATAAAACACTAAGTGAAAATGTTTTGCAAAGATTTTTCAAAGCTTTTTCATGTTACTCGATTTTTCAGCGTGAACTGTATGATAGATGTGTCCTGCTGA